ATTATTAACATTGCGCACGCATACGTAATTAAAGATGTAATATAAAAAATAAGATAAAAAATAGACTTGGCCAAATATTCGTGTCGATTAGGCAATCAGTAATAAACAATATAAATAAACTCTAAAATGTGCAATATAGTATCTCTTGATAACTATTACAATATTCCTTTACATATTGAAAAAAAGGTGGATGAAATAATTTGCACATATAACCGCTAATTATAGAGAAACTTTTCTTCAGGAAGTTAATAATATATATCATATATATATAGATAATGTATATATAATATATATAATATATATATATATAAATATATATATTATTAACTATAAACAAGTGATTTCAGGATTTTTTTTTAACAACAATATTTGAAAGTAGAGATACAATTAGCCTTAATCTTGATTCTTACGATGTTACTACAAAAGGTATTTTCTTTCGTTGTTAGTTTTTTGTGATTATGAGCACTGTTGATTAGTTTACGAGACTCAATATAATTTTTAGGTATGAATTATTTAATTGTTTTATAAGATGTATTGTTAATTTTAAGTTAGATTCAACAGTTTTTGTATAACCTTCTATAAGAGCTAGCATATGCATTTGGTAAAAAGGAGCAACAGAACCTTTACCCTCGCATATAAATAGTAAATAAAAAAGTATATTGAGTTAAAAAAAGCAATTTTATATAGATAAATAGTTATTCCAAGTGTGCTAATGAATATTTCTGATGAATACCAGATCAAGATTATTAAGTTTGGTTTAGATAGTATAAATAATTAAAATCAAATTGGACCTTTGTGCCCCGCCTGTGCTATAATCCTACCTGATGACGATTGTTGATCATTTTCACGATCCAATTCAGTAACCTTAATAAGAGTATTCAGCAGAGTTACTGAATACAGTAATTCAGTATGTCAATTAGATATTACGAAAGATATGAAATTTAATTATATGTTTATCATTGTTTATAATTGTTTATTTTATCCAAGGGACTAATCTCTTGTACTCAATCAATGAAACAATTGTACCATAAATGATAATTATCATTATATTACGTACGTTACACATGTTTAAAATCATATTTTAAAAATATAAATATATTATAAAATATTTTTTATTCAATCGGGTAAAATTTTTAATTTCATGCTTTTCGAATTTCAATTGAATATATCAACTTCAACTGAGACCATTTAACTCACAAAAGTACTATACATATACGCAGTTGACAATTCCGTCATAATATAATTAATATGCATTGTAATCTAGTCATCATTAAATTTGTCATAACAAAAAAAGATATTATCAAAATATTTTCAAAATTTTCCGTAAAAAAATTATAAAATCAATTTCAGATAAAAAATTTAAAAACATGTTGGATCTAACAATAACTTTGTTATTGTTAAGTGCAATAGTAATTACATGTGCGGCGAGTAATTTTGGATGCCCTTCCATTACCACAAAAAGATGTAATCACAATGAGAAATATAATGAAGATGAAAAGTTGAGCCACTTACACCTAAGAAGATGTACAAAACGTTTCGATGTATCCATCGTCCACTCAGAACAAATCTTAGTAGATAAGAACACTGGAATATGTCAAGGACAAAGAGTGACTGCGTCCGCCCAGCAGCAATTGAAGTTAATCTGCGAAGACCCAGGTTATGTGGACAAACCCAAAGCCGATAAACATCCTAAATTCACGGACCATATAAACATTTTAAAGACTACAACATTTAGGAGGACGAAGGGAAGCAAGAGCTTTACTCCTGTTGAAGAAACTGTTGAACTACAAATTGATTGATCGATAACAATAAATCGAAGCGTAACTTAAATCCCCACACCTTTGAGGAACGCTTCAGAAATCGAACAACGTAACTAAATCGATAAATCTATTTATATATATATATTAGGGTGGTCCTTAAAAAGGTCATTTTCGAATTTTCTTGCTCCCAGGGGCTCAAATGGTTCCAAATTGATAAAAAACAATTCTCTGAAAGTTTTAGCTCTTAATATTAACGTTTAGATAGAGCGCAATTCAATCAAAGTTTGTATGGAAAGAGCATGGAACAATTTTTGAAAATTTAAAAAAAAATGTTTTAGGTATAACTTAGCGACAAATGAATGAGTTTTATTCATTCATTTGTTCGCTAAATTACATCTAAAAAACATTTTTAAAATTTTTTAAAATTTTTCCATGCTATTTCCATACAAAACTTTGATTGAATTGCGCTCCATCTAAACGTTAATATTAAGAGCTAAAACTTTCAGAAAATTGTTTTTTATCTATTTGGAACCATTTGAGCCCCTGGGAGCAAGGAAATTCGAAAATAACCATTTTAAGGACCACCCTAATATATATATATATATATATATATATATATATGTATTTTGGAGTATGTATATATACATACGCAAACACATATAAATCAAAGAAAGACATAATTTTAATCCAGTCAGATGTTGAGCGTCATTGTCACAATCTTGTCGAAATAATCAGTTCAAACACATATCGCGTCTTCAAAAGTTTATTTTGAGCGTGGTTCTGTCATGTTTTTTGAGGACTTTTTTATTGTTCTTTGTTATCACTTATGTTATAATCAATGAACTAATACCATTACTAGTGACTTCCTTCAATTTTATTGCAATCAACAGGTTCATGGTACAATTTTGATTAATTATTTATTTTTGTTCACTTACGGACAAAATTACATACTTATATAATGGACAAAATGACAACAGTACTATTTCGCAAGAATTAAAGGGTAGTTCATTCGAGGCAAAAAAAAGTAAATTGAAACCTGTCAAAGGTGGCTTTTAACTTTTACTCTACCTACTTCTAAAAATAGACCAAAAAAACTTGTATTTATTGGAAAGATCTCTTTTTCTAATCTGAGCTCAGCAAAAATTGGTTACAATGTGTGATTGGTATCCTTTGGTACTGAACGATTTATTTATGAACGTCCTTTTCAAAAAATTAGTATCCCAGAATATCCTTACCTTATATGTCATTTTATCCATACTATATAGACAAAATAGTTTATGTAATAGGTTGCATTTATCCTCAATAATTATTTTATTATAGTTTCTACTTAATAAAAAGACAATGTTACTGATAGTCAATAAACCTAAGATAAGTAAATCCATTGAGTTTGATCATTTTATCATTATATAAATGAAAATCATTAAAAATTAAAACACCATGTCATTTTGTCGGAGCTTCCCCAATAATAAAATTATAATAAAAACGCTGAGTAATTTCAAAGTAGTAATTAATCTATATTATACTTCTATATAATTCATCATTTTGTACAATGTTACTAATTAAATTTAAAATTTCAGCCAGAAGATGTTCGTACACTAATTGGAAGGAGTAAAATGAATAGCGCTGCTACAAACTATAAAATGGCAATGAGAGATGCCGAAGCAGCTTTAGGTATATTGATTTAAATTATAAAATAATTTGATACTGTTAATGTTTTAATTAAATTGCATTTGCACTCAATCGAATAATTTAAATAATATTTATGGATTTTTTATTTAAAACAGATAGTGAATAATGAATAATTAAAATTGAAAAAAAAGTGATTCAATATAATGATAAACAATGTAACACATAATTATATGTATGTTGTTTTAGCATATACAAAAAATTATGAATACGTTATTCAATGAAAGAGAAATTCAGAGAAATTCAGATATATATGGACAAAATAACACAGTGGACTTATTTAAAAATTTTCAAGGGTAGTAACGTTTTCGCGACTGTACAACGTTAAAAAAGCAATAATTACAATCCTTTCAGACGTTGATCGTCATTACTACTTGTCGCAGTAATCAGTTCATTTTATTTTGATGGTGGTTTGATCATGTTTTTTTGGAAACCTTGTTATTTGTAATCAAAATGAATGAACCCATGCCAATACTAGTAATGTTAATCAATATTATTAGAATTAAAAGGTGTCTGATGAAATTTTGATTGTTTATTAATTTTTGTTCATTTTTCGAACGAAATAACATACTACAAAGGTAAGCACTACAAGGTAGTAAACTCTAGGCCAAGAAAGAAAATTGAAACATGTCAAAAATGATTGACTTTTACATTAAAATCTAAATACTTCTAATAGCACATAAAAAATTCACCAGCAAAAAAAGGAAACTTGCATTTATTGCAAAGATGACTTTACCTATTCTGAACCTGACAAAGGTTGTTCACGATGCATGATTTGTTCCCTTTAGGCTCATGTGAGGATGTCCCAAAGAGGACCAACAATTTATTTGTTAACTGTCTTCATAAAAATTATTAGATTAGTATGTCTTTAACTTACATGTAATTTTGTTCATGGACATAATAATATATGTAATACATTTCCTTTATCCTTAATATGTTACTGTAATTGCTGCTTAATTGAAAGTTAATGAATCTAAGATAAGTAAACAAATAAAAACGATTAAGACTATTCATAATGTCAATAAATATATAGATATGAAGTGAAATAAAATATCGTGTTATTTTGTCCGTACTTCCCCTACATGAGAAATAATTTGACAGCATATTGTTATATTACAATAATAATAATTTATATATTCTGTTTGATCAATAAATTTAAATAAATTTATTTTAAATTGTAGAAAAATGGCATCAATGTTCTTTTCAATATTTAAAAAGAATATTTGGAAAACCTACTATAAAAGGATCTATATATCAACATCATTGAAAATATTTTCTTTCAGAGAGAATTATGCTATTAAGCACAATCATACTCATATTATTTGAATACTGTTATTTTTACAATAATGTAATAAACTTACTAATCCGGCATAAAATTTGATTTTGGATAAAAAAGCTAAATTAACTAAAATGATAAGAATAATAATTAATTTTTAAGTTTGAAAAAAATATTGATTTTTTTAAACAAACATGTATAATAAAATTTTACATCCGAGATGTGAGTGGCTCAGCTATAATAAACAATAGAATACTCGTATGAAATACAATATTTGAAAGACTTTTTATACGCTGTAGCAAAAAAGTACGAATAGAAATCTATTTTTAGATGCTTTTTCTTCCATTGCTTTCAATATTTTACTAACGATATTTACATAGGATCAGTTTCTGCCTTTATTTTCTATAAATAACTTTTATTAGAATAGATGACTGATATGAATATAGTAATAATAAATCGCATGTTTATTTTAAAACTTGTATTTGATATTGATTACTCTAAGAATATATGTAGTTCATCCTAATATAATAAAAAAACATTTCTAATAAAAATCATTGACTAAAAATATATTGTATTAAATATAACAAAGTCTCTGAAGCAGGTGAGCAGGTGTGTCTAAAAATAAACCGGCTACTACTTTGCTTAGAGATTATTTAAAATATGTAAATAATTTACCCATCGCATTTACTTAAGTAATTACAAAACTTAATTGAATATTCAAAGCTCTCGATCCCGGAAACCTGTTGGCTGCATATCAGCAAGCTCAAGCCAAGTACGAACTGGGCGATTTCGAACAAGCCCTAAACTTGTACCACAGAGGCTTACGACGAAGGAAACAGCCGCCAAACTTCGCCGAGGGCGTAATGCAGGTCAGGAACGACATTTAGGCAAAATGTAGATTTTTTTAAAGATTTTTTTTTGAAGATTTTGTTTATAATTCTGTGAAAACATTATTATTCTTAGTTGTTTTTTAAAAAATAATGTTTTTTGTAATTTAATTTTTCGAAGATTTTTTTTAGCACATTTGCTTTCAGAAATACAATTTTAACATTTGTTATTCAAACAGCTTACAATTAATATATAAGGAATATTTTTAATTTTCTTATATTTGAATATTCAGAAGTAAAAACTAACAATATAAAAAAGCCCTTTTGGATTCATAATTTATGCTGTAGACAAAAAATCGACCGATTGATTGAGAGACGTATATCAAAATCTATAAAATAATTTTTTGTATTGCTACTGATAGACTATCAATATTTACTTAGGAACAAAATAATATCCGAATATTTAGCAATCACCGCAGACTCTAAGAAACCTTTTTTTTTATTTCACCATATGTTTTACAAATGGCCTTAGTGGACATCTAGTGAACTTGAAGATAATATAGTTATAGATAAATTATGCGATAAGTACATAGCAATAGTAGAAGTAACCAGTGTTACTTCAAACTAAAATAATTTAATTGACTGAAACGACAAATACTTTGAATTTATAAGAAGGTAATTTTACAGGTAGCATTTTACCTTAAAACAAATGTCAATAACTACCTGATATGTGTATATAATCACATATTCAATAGGAAGTAAGATTTAGGGGCCAATTCTCGGATAAAGTAGAAATGTATTTAATGGCTATGTATTTACCATGCGATCAGGCGTTTTATACATAAAACCTAATCTACAAAACGCATAAACGTCAAATAACAATATTATCATAAGTGCAACTTTCTGATGTCTCATTGATAACACATATATAAAGATAGGTTTTATGTGTGAAACGCCTGATTGCACAACAAATACATAGCTCTTTGGCAGTTATTTACTACCAATTCATATGAAGATAGGCCCATAACATAGCATTCTCCCTTGGTTATTTAGATAACATTTTCAACTATATATTAATTTTGAAAATAAATTTTTCGATTCAATAGAAACAAATCGATACGATTTACAATTGATATCTTCTAAATATATTTATAGAATATGTAATTGAGTGAACAAACACGCGCTTGAATGTTCTAAAAGCGATGCCCTTTATTCCAAATATTGAAATGAATTTTATAACTCATCAATTTGTTGCATACCTCAAATATTTTAATATCTTTGTTTAGAAAAATAATTCTATGTTAGGTTTCATAAAAAACTTCAAAAAAAATTTCAACATTTAATTACCAAGAAACTGCTCGACAGATTTTATCCACAAATCAGCACGATTCCCGATATTTTAAAAAAAATTAGAATCGGTTCAGAATTTTTTGCAAAAGTTGGGACAAAAACTTCCACAATTTTCTGACAATTCTAAAGAACCGGCTCAGCTGATCATCTCAGTAAAATAAGTAACGCGAGTCCTTCGAGTTTGGACCAAAAGGTTCAAATTGTTGAAATCTGTGCAGCAGTTCGACTAACAATCAGCACATACATACTAAACTTCTTTTCTTTTAGATGATTTGATATGTAGAGAAAACATTAAATTTACAAAATAGATTTCTGGCAAAAACAAACTTCTCCATCGGGAAGTTAACAATATTAACAAAAAACGACAATAACATAGTTTTGATTTCTCAGGTACATTTAAGGCAAAAGTTGTATCAAACAGCATATACAAGACCACAGCAAAATTTTCCGTCATTGACGTCTGATCCAAAATAGAAAATACTCTTCTTAACTCACGGGAGAATACATATGCTCTCCAGCAATTGCACTTCATAGTTTAACAAATCGTTCTTTATTGAACTTCCGATAACATTTATTGAATTTTATTTTTAGTGTTCGGAAACGATAGAGGACTGCATTGGTTACAACGTGGGCAGCGTATTGAAAGATTTTGAGTGGACGATAACTGCGATGGATAAGTTTAGGATTTCCGAAGCAGAAAGACTGAAAAACTTGCCGGAGGAAACTTGCGTCGAAGAAACCGACAAAGAGAGGGAAGAACGATTGGTAACAATTCTATGATGTTTACTTTATATGTAAACTTTTCTTAGAATGGAATCAAATATAAATATCCATGTTCTGAGGTTATATAACAAACATATCGGGTAATATTGCAAATATTTTTTTGAAATATGCTTTCCAAAAATTAAAACTTATGCGAACAATAAATAAATTTTTAATTAATTGAGTGTCGGGCTCTTAAGCTTATTAAGAGATATAAAAAATCATATATTATTTTATATAAGTATATTAAAAATTATATACAGTGACACTAAGGAATTTACATAAATACATTTTGAAGAACGAGAAATGGTGAAAAATACAATAATTTGCAAGTCAAATACGTTCGGCGTGGGTTTAGGATTAACATCTTCTCACTAAGGCAAAATAAATTTCATGATGCAAAGTAGCATATTATAAAATTAGTCTGGCACCGCGCATTGACTTTTCATGTCATATTCCTTTTGGTTCGCAATAATTCTAGCAATGCTGAATGAAAAAATACTTTTAATATAGAAACGCTCAGAATAAAATCGCAGGTTCGCAAAAAAGTTGTCTGGATTGGGTGACATATATTTTTCAATATACTTATTACCACTGAACACGCATCTAAGGTCAAAATTGGGTAATCAAAGTCCAATGGCAACAAATTAAAAAAAAACTACAAATTTTCCGATAAAAGTTTTTCTGCATGATAATTAAAAGCTAATAATTTCTGTCGGTTCTTCGTCCTTTGATCCTTTATTGACCTGTGCAACAGATTTTTGCAACACTTTTTTATCTATTTTGAGTATTTTTTTTCCAACCTTCAGCAGTAATTTGCAAAAATATTGTGAGAAAACTGCAAGCATGTTTGTAGATCTTCTAGGGTCTATGGGGTGTAAATGTTTGCAAATTATTACTGGAAGCTGGAAAAAGGTACTCAACATAGATAAAAAACGGTTACAGAAATCTGTTGCATTTCAGGATTAAAGAACCAGGAAACCGACAGAGACTATCAGATATTAATTATCTTGTAGAAAAAATTCTAGATCAAAGATTTTATAGCTAGTCTTATTTCTTTTTAAATTTTTTCCATTTGACCCACAATTTTGACTTATAGGTTCCTCTTCAGCAAGAGCGGAAAAATACATTAGATCATATGTTTCACATCCAATCCAAGCAACTTTTTTGTGAAATTCGATTTTGTCTTTTAATATTTCTTGTATTGTTCATTCGAGTAATTGATTTCTAATATTACTATAATATTCCAACGCCGAACAAAAGTAGCAATATATGTACTGATATTTATAATCCTTAGGGAGCATTGATAGATGCACAAGAAAGACATAGGCTAGAAGTCTTGGGACGTGTAATGGCAGAAAAATATTTGGGACGCTTGGCGCATGAAAAATATTTCCTGAGGACGTTGATCAGCGATTACCGGCTGCCTTCGGCAAATAAAACTGGAGGCGAAACTCTCAAGCAATTGTGTGTAGAAGCATTCCAAGCACTTCAGAACCGACAGGTTTGTACAAATATGAAATAAGGGATATGCAAACATATAGGGGAGACTTGGTTCGCTTATGCCACTTTTTATCAACAATAATTTTGTTAACTTACTATAAAATTAAATTTAATGGTAACTTGAACATTTGTGTACGTGGAAGTACTGAAGTACTTCGACATAAATACGATGGACTAGTCATAAAACCGAATCATACAAGGGTGGTTGTGACAGGCGTAAACAAAGGTTAAAAACAATAGTTATGAACACCAAAATGATTTATAAAGACTTTTATTGTCAGTAATATGTAACACAACATAACATCTTTTAAAGAAAACTTATGAATATAATATTACAATATAAAGTAAAACAGTTTTTTAAACAAGAAATCTTTTATTTTCTTGTTCTTAAATTTTCCTTTGCCTTTCTCTTTCGTATTTTGTCTTAAATTAGTCGTGCTTTAAGGCAAATTACTGAAACTTCCCGCACCGAAAATTAAAATTCTTGAAAAGCCTATAGAAATTTTTGAAAACTTAAAATACAAAATTTTTGAAAATTTTGAAATATTACATTTTTTTTATTAATTGAATTATTTTTTAAATCATGAACATTTTTTTAAAGCAATCGTACTGCGTTACTGTTTTGAATAAGAAAAATCGAAGCGCGTAAACGCCGCACCGCAGTCTGATAAACATTAGCACGGAACTCATATGTCTAATGATTTTAACCACCAAATGGCATTTTTTTCATACGATCTCTGAAACCGCTGTACCTGCCTTTCCAATAATTTTAAATGGAATTCATTTTGTACAATACAAATAAAATGTTTTTCGAATTATTCCAATCGGACGCTTTGTTCCCCTATGATCTAAATTACCATTTTGGACTCCGTATCTTCAAAAGTCCTGCGGCTAGTCCTGCTTTTGCCATAAACTAATCAGCACAAAACTATCAATACAAATCGAATCGAATGTTTTTTTTTAATTGTTCAAATCGGCTCATCCGTGTTCCCGAAATCGTCGACGAAAATTTGTATCCGCACACATGCAAACACAATAATGTACACACATACACATTCAACCATTTTTTCTAAGATATGCTAAAATGTCCAGAAACATCTAAAAAGTAAATATATATACAAATTTTCATTTTTGACTTTTTTGTGATTACTATAACTTATCGTACGGAAAGTTAATAAGTTAGATTTTTCTTTATCTGTTTAATCTTCGCCCAAAAAGGATAAGAAATACATGTCACAGTATATACATGTCACATAAAGCAAAACTACCTGCCGGTAACTATAACTACTAATTTCAACTTGCGGCAAAATAATAAACAAAGTGATTTATCTGTATACTAGTGCAGTCATTAGCTTTGATTAGGTAAGGATCTCTGAATTCGAGATACACAGCTGTAAGTCTGTAAATACTTGTAAATTGACACCTATAAGTTGTTTAAAAACCTACATACGGTAGGGTGTACGCAACATATGTAGGCTTTGAGACAACTTTAGGTGTCAATATACAAGTATTTACAAACTTACAGCTGGGTATCTCGAATTCCGAAGTAAACTTACTATAATCACTGGACTATACAGTAATAAAAAATCTAACAAAAACTCACTTTTGACTCTTTAAAAGAAATGCGGTCTACAAATCGTGTTAATGTAAGGCTCTGACACAAAGCAATAATGGAAACTTGTTTCAATAAACATACTTCATCTTTCACGCTTTGGACCCGATCTCAAAATCAGCATAGTTTAGTTGTTATGACGACTATCACTACCAACCCTGACACGACCGTACCCAATTCCCCTATTATTGGTAAGATATGTGAACCTGAATTAAAGGTATTCACCTGAAGTGCTTCAGATCGTATGTGAGCATTTATTACACTATTACTTTAGGAAGTACTTCGAACAAGACGCCCATGGTACAGCGTCAAGTACAGGGATTTAGTGGACTCGGAAAGGATTCGTATGAAGAAGAAACAATTGCTCGAGAGATCAAGGGCTGGCGCCAAGATCGACGCAGAGAAATTCGTAACACTCCTACGACAGGCGAGACAGGATAGAAACATCAAGGTGATGTAACTTTTTTTTTTTTTTGTTTTAATTTTTTATTTGGCCTCGCTTACTGTGAGCATTTAGCCACCTACAACATTTTTGTTTATTTACATTCTAATTTTTTTATATCATTTTCAATCTATTTATGTATCCTATTCTATATTCTTCTTAATTTTTCTTCTCTTTGTTTCCTTCAATTCTTGCTCTTTTTGAAATTCCTAATTCTATTTAACTTTCAGCTTCATTCCACTTTTTTTCTTTATTCTTCTTTTAAGTTCCAATATTTCTCTTCTTACTCCTAATTCAATTCAACTATTCGAATTCTTTCAATCCTAATTTTTCTTAATTTTTATTCAAATTCTATCCAAAAAGTACAATTTTTATTTGATTTCTACACATTTTTTTTTCATAAATTCTAAGTCATTGACAGGATTTGAACTTATTATAAAAATATTTATTACACAAAGTTGTAACTTTGTGTACCTATGTGTACGCAAAGTTCAATTTTATTTTGAATAAAAAAAAAACATTATGCCAAACTTATGGTATATCGCATTACAAAAAAAGTTTGATGATTATAGGAAAAGGTCATCGTAGTAAATGATATTTTGATTGCCTTAGTTATTGCTGTGTGCTACTAATGAGTATCTGCCATGATCTATAGCATTCATTAAAATAAATATAATTATGATTTTTGCTATAGTAATTGAGTTTTGGAAAATCAGTCCGGTTGTTCATAAATCACAAGATTTTTATGTACTTTAATTTCTAATAAAAATTCAAAATATTTATGAAATTGTATTTTATGCGTACCGTCTGTCCACATTTTATCATGATGTCAGTACATTAAAAATCTTTAAATTTGTGTATTTATTTTTTTCGCTTTAAGGGGCAGATTCTGTCGTGAATTAGGTCAATGTTATGGCAAGGCTATGCTATGTAGAGCTTCTCATACAAAATGGTACTAAATATTAAAAAAATTGCCATGTATTTGCTGTGCGATGAGGCGTTTTACACATAAAATATAAAATCAATCATTGTTTTTGGCAATTGTGCATTTTCTAGGTTAGGTTTTTTTTATCTAAATCGCCTGACTGCATAACAATTGCTGTGCCACATGGCATTTGACAGTATTTAGTACCATTTTGTATGAGAAGTGCTCCGTAATATATAGCCCCTAAGTATCAATGGTCTATTATACGACAGAATCGACTCTTCAGTCTTATAATTATTATGAATATTAAAATATCAAAAACACTGAATTACAATAACTTGAATTGATATTTGGATTTGAGAATTTATTTCGTACATCGGAGTCAATAATCAAATTTTCCGAATAAATTTTGAGCATTAAAATATTCGATATACTTTTGTTAGAAAGAAGTTGGTACATTTGAACCTTCATATATATATATATATATATATATATATATATATATATATATATACCTTTGAACATTTGAACCTTTATATATATATATATATATATATATATATATATATTATGTGAGGAAAAGGGGGTAATATAAACCCATATGCACATTGCGTCACTGAAACTTTTAGATAATAAAACGGTCAATAAAATTTTAGTCCTTGCATAAATATCAAAAATGGAAATTCCGTGCGAATTATTCCAAGCGTTTTAATTCATCGAGAAGAAAATTCAGTGTTGCTAAGGCACCTCCAATATTAATAAAAATAATATTAATCTATCTCAATCTGAAGCAACTTGTTCTAAAAAAATTCTATTCGATCTAACATTAATTCAATCTATTCTGAATGTTAAAATTATTTAATATGTTGCCTATATGACAGTCTAAGAATAAGACAAACATAAAACTATGTGGTAATATGTTTAATAGTAACAGAAAAATTATTAAAACGAATTTTTATAATATAGTTCTGCCTGGAGACGATTGACAGGGCGAAGGTATTCATGGATTCCAAAACTAAAAAATCTCTTCCAAACAAAAAAAGAACTGATGGATACAATGTATAATATTGCGGGTTTGACGTATCTTCAAATGTACCGAATAAATCCCGATATGGGTTATGAGGCCAACAAGAGGGTACAGTTTTTGTTCGGACAAATGTTACACAGTTTACCGACGGAAGACTCGATCATAGATATGAAGTTCCCTTATGTGGATTATAAGTGAGTAAAATTCACATGTATATATATATATATATATATATATATATATATATATAGATATAGGTTAAGGTCCAATTTGACTTTGAGCAATTATATTGTGAAAACCAAAAAACTTACATCATAACAAAAAGCACATATCAAACAAACAACAATGTGTTATTTTTTTCTGTTTTTCAGAAAATTGTCACTTAAAACTTTTTACCTCACAGCTACGTTATTCAATCAATGCAAAATATGAATATCATAGGTACATTTTTTACAGACAAAATACTGTAAATAACCTTGATCTAGTATTTCGTCAGAAATAATCACCAGGATAGGAATAATTATTTATTGAATCTCTTGTAACTATTCCACTATCCATTTAATTTATCTCTTGTAAAATTGCTTTTGTTAGCTCCATTTACTTATTTTTTATTGATTACACCTTTGCCAGGATAAAGGTTTGGAGCGTGATCCTCTTATCTCACACACATGTAAGCTTTTATAGAGATTATTTTAAAAAAAGTTGAATCTAAATTAAAAATAACAATGTTTCTTATAAAACAACTAAATACAGCAACCTAAAAATTATATTGAGGTCTTGTGAACTAAACAACAGTATCCACAACTAGGAAAAACAACAACAAAAGAAAACACTTTTGTTAATGATTTATCTTGGTAATAATGGTAATGATACTTCTTTATCCCTCTACTTTCAAATATTGTTGTTAAAAAATTCTTAAGTTTACTTTTTGAGATATTGGTGGTAGACTGCAAGTTGTTTAAATATTACAGGTGTATTTAAATTAAAGCATTGATATATTATTGATCAATTTTTAGATAAATTAAAATTGCTTTCAGGTAAATCTGAAAATAAAACTTTTCAATAATAGTGTCACTATTATAATAAAAAAAATATATATTTAATTGATATTAGTCCATTTATATCTCAAACTTATTAGTTTTATTCAAACCGGCTAAATATATTCTGTGAAAAATTATAGAATTATGTTGATTTATAAAAGTGCCTTAATTCATTATGTATGATAATTAACTTGACTCATCAATTTACTATCTCTGACACATTTACAAGAACTTATAAATAGACAAGAAGTTTGAAACAAGCACCATTTTTATTTTTCATAACCACCCACTTTTCTTTTTTATCCCGGAATTAACAAACCCGTAACTAACAAGAAATGATTATAATTTTTTTTTCAAGTTAGTTCAATTCAAAATTATCGAACAGTAGTAAGTAGTAACCTCAATAAATACACAGATATTCATTTAATATATAGTACAGAATTCTTGGTATCATTTTTGTTTGGTATTTTTTTTGAGCAAAAAAAGTGCAACTCGGTGTGTTTTTAATACTATCATTACATTTGTTGTGCTAATGCAAATTCAAAACTAAATAATATAAATGTATATATATATATATATATATATATATATGTATTATTTCATGACCAATTATAATGAATATTCGTGTTTGATACCAGGCACTAAAATTAAACAAAAGAATCATACCTGCCGATAGAAATGTAATACTTTTGCTTTGTAATTACGTTTTGCGAACATTATTCCAATTATTAACTTTAAATCAATTATAAAAAAGTATTTTCGTTGAATTTCATGTATTATTAAATTGCAAATTTCTCTTTCCATTCCAACTCGATGAAAAGTTTTGAATAAATATTTTATCGTTTCATTACAAGGCTGCAAATGAGCTAATTAAAGGCCATTAGAGCGCGAGGGATTAAAAATGTATGAAAATGAATCAATGGTACAGTGCAGTAAATTATATGAGTGGAGGTAGAAGTGAAACAAAATTTAATGTTGCAATTAGTAAATATTTAAATTATTCATGTGTTACATGATTTATATAATTACTTTGTTATATATGAACATTTAAACAAAGTTTGTAAGAGAAAACCGCAAATATTCAAATCAGTTTCCTCGGCTACGACGCTGCCTTTACGTTTCCAGTTCATTAATACAGTTATTACCATTATGATTAATTTTTATTTTTTATCTGAAAAATAACATTTCATGAAAACAAAATCTATTTAAATTATTGATGAATATTTTATGAAATATTGATTCTGTGGTTCAAAAAGCTGGAGGCAACCCATCGGTTAACCGTTCTCCTATGTGTGGTCATGGTGTTTATAATAGATATGTATAATGTATGTACTAATTACATGTGTATGTGGCCCCAATTTCCATAATTTCACTTGAGATTATATTTGAGATCTATAACCTCAATTTGATGTCATGCTGCCTGAAATCGAGCCAACTGAGGTTGGGAACGCCTTGGGAGACTCAGTGCTAACATCCTTAATGCCCGGGCTCATATAAAAAGAACATAGCAACATTTTTAAGATCTTAGGGTTAATAAATATATTTTTGTTTCATATAAAATTTATTAAGATCGAGTAAATACGGGAAATAAACACATTTTAAGATAACATATCACGTTGAATTAATTATATTGATTACAATTTCAATCAATTATGTTTAGAGTAACCAGGGCTTAAAGGTCCGCGAGTAAAAAATCCACCACCGATATCTCGAAAACCATTAAAGTTAAGAATTTTTTAGCAACAATATTTTTAAGAAAAAAGAAAGATAACAAAACATAACAAAAGCATTTTCTATCGTTCTTAGTTTTTCGATTGTGAGCACTGTTGTTGTTTGTCTCACTTGTTTGTGAGACTTTAATATAATTTTTAAGTACACGTTATTTAATTATTTTATAAGATATCTCGTTAATTTTGAGTTAGATTCAACAGTTTTTTATATAACATGTATAAAAGCGTACACCCTTGGTGGGGAAAAATAGACCAACTGATTCCTTACCTTGGCAAAAATGTAAAAATAAAAAATAGAAAATCAAAAAGTAATTTAAGTTATAAAAAAGCAATTTTCAGGAAATAAATTGAATAAATTGTTATTTTGTAAAAACCCTTGAAAGTTAATATGAATTATTAAACCTGTCCGCCCCTGGCCGTTCCAATTCTTCCCGCCTATGGGGTAAAAAGGATCATGTAACAAATTTTTGTAAAAAAAAAACAGGAAAAAAGCACATTTTTACAATAATGAAGCTCTCAAATCAAATGATTCAGTAAAACTCGAAAACGGCTAAACCGATTTGGCCAGTCTTAGTCTTGAAAAATTCGTGCCAATCCAGAGATGGTCGGAAAGGTGAGATATTATTTCAAAATCTCGTAGAAACTTTACATTTTCAATTTGAAAATTTTTGTAGAAGCGTAATTTAAATAAAATAATGGACGGCGGCTAATACGTGAAATGTCAAACGTTTTTGACAGATGCTGTTCAATTACGTTTAATAGGATGTTTTATGTGAATATTATTTAATTATGATTAAATTGTAGTAAGTAGTTTTGTTTGTAGTTTTATTCATATACAAAAACGTTGGTAAACAGGCCGTAAGTGTTACTAGAAACTTAAAATATCAACTTTTTTGAAATGTTAATATGAAAATGCACTTTTTGGCATATTTTTCTCAAACACGGTGCTCTGATAGACCTCATTTGTATAATTATATACTCATTGGTATTCATAAAACATTTGCTAGGTTATATTATTTTTTATTTATGTTATTTAAATTCAACGTTTAAAATTAAAATAAGACATTAAACCTGTTTGCCACCTGGCCCTTCCAAATTACCCTGTCTTTGGGGTAAAAAAGTCTAGATAACAATTTTTTTAAAGACAGCAAAATCAGCACATTTCTACAATGATGAAGTAGCTGGCAGTTTCACTGAACGTAGTCAAATAATTGTTCGTTTGAAATGTGTTATTTGTTGTAATATAATTGGTTTTTCATAATACAGTTTATATTTGCTCAAAGTCAAATTGGACCTTTGTGCCTCGCCCTGCTCTACATATATACTTTTTATTAAATTTACTTCAATTCATCGAATGTTACTTGAAAGTTTTCAAAAAGCAGGTAAAAGAAGAAATACTTAATACATTTTCTATCTAGAAATTTGAAAATTTTGTATAAGCTCAGTAGTATTATTTACAATTATACACAAAATCCTGAATCAAAAAAGAATCTGAAAAACTTGAAACGTAAAATGACTTGGATTGGATTATACCATGTTTTCTATAGAAAGTGTATAAAACTTGCAGTTTGATTGTGTTGATAAAATATAGACAAACTAATGGGGTTTATAGCATTCAAACAACACATCCTTATACACTTAAAGTATTAATTTTTTTGATTCTCTAGAAATTGTTTAGAATATACCTTACTTAGCAAAACAACGTTTGCCGGGTCAGCTAGTAACAAATATAATTTCGTTTTGCTTAATTTTCTAGAAAAGCGATTCGTACGGCCGAGACGCGCGCCGATTTATCTGCGGACCGTCTGGAGCGTGCCTTCTACTTCCACGAATTAGGCAGGTACTACATGGAAATTCATAAGTATGATATGGCTAAAATGTACGCGAAGAAATCCATGAACGATGCCAGTTTCGCAAAGAATTACGCCTGGGTAGTGAACGCGGCCATAACATGCGCTCGGGCGGATATAATGGTGCACAACCGAAACGACGCCAAGAAGAATTTACAAGTGGGATTAGATGCAGCGTATCATATGAGGAATGATACCGTTATTGAATTTATAGAACAGTGAGTATTATTTTTGCTATTGCTAAATCTAATCAGGATAGTTGGTAAGAAATAATTAAAAAGTCGCTTCTTTACTTTGTCGAAAAAGTAAGTGTAAGATGTATTTCAGTGTGGTGTATATATAGTTGTGATTTCCATATGGACTAGTTAATGATCAATTTGATCACATATTGTATAAGTCAATTAATTTGTTTTATATAATAACATTAATCTAAATGTCTGGACATGATGGTTGCTCAAAAATAATAGTAATGCCGTTTCTTTGAATACCCTGACCGAGAAAGCAAGGCAAAACTTTTTTGGAATGTGGTATAATATATTGTTCTGTATTTTATATGAACTAGTTAATGATCAATTTCATCACGTATTAAATATATGAAATAATTTGTTTTACAAATATGCAAAATCAATAATTATTGATTGGATAAATATTATAATATTTATCCGAAATATCATGATCAGAGTTTTAGATAAATATTATTGACTTTGCATATTTTTGCTCAAAAATAATAAAATTGTCAATTATTTAAATTTGCTTGTTCGGTCTTTCATATAACTACTTAAAGATCAATTTCATTAGGTATTGTATAAATTAATTGATATGTTTTAAAAATATGCGAAATCAATAATATTAATTTTTTAGAGTGTGGTATATATTGTTATATATCTTTTTCCTTATATGGTATAGGTTAAGTAATTTTTGTCAAAAATTTGCAAGATCAATAACTAAATTAATCCGAAAATCTGATCATGATAGTTGCTCAAAAATGATAAAAATGTCGTTTCTTTAAATCTGCTTATCCGAAAAGCAAGGGGAAGTTTTTTTTTTGAATATGGTATATATTGCTTTGTTTTTCATATGAACTAGTTAATGATCAATTTCATCATATAATACATAAATGAATTACTTTGTATTAAAAATATGCAAGATGAATAACTAAATTAATAAATAAAAATAAAAAAAAATGTACTCTCTTCGCATTTGCTTGTCCAAAAAGCAAGGGTAAGCTATTTTGCAAGGTGGTATATATTGATCTATTTTATTTAATAGTACTTTGTTTAGTCAACATATTTATCAGCACCTAAAAAATAATTATTAATTTATATATATATATATATTATTATATATATATTATATTAAAAATCTCTCAAAACATGTGGTGACTTTTATACATGCCTCGGTACTAGCAAAGTACAGAAGTCGTGGCAGAAATTACATAATTCTACTTACATTTTTGTTCAATAAAACTATCATTTTTCTGTTTACATCATACAAAAAAATTATATAAAAAATGCATAGTGCTGACAAGTTAGTTGTATAAATGTTAGTGCCAATCTCTAGTGCTGTTGTACACTTCTTTATATGTAACTAACCAACGTAATGTAAATCCACTTGTATTTTATATGTATTATCCATCTTCATAAATAATTTGTTTGCTTTACATATATACGAGTTTACATATATTGTATGTTTATATATATATGTATTTGTATGTATGTATGTTAATATATGTATATTACTTATTTACATGTATGTTTGTATGTATGTGCATATGTATATGTGTATACATGTAATTGTATATACGTATATATGCATGTATGTATATGTATGTGTATATATATATATATATATATATATATATGTATATATATATATATTTGTGAGCATTTATGTACATATGTATATATATGTATTGTGTGTATATATATATATATATATATATATATATATATATGTATGTATATATATGTATATATATATATGTGTGTGTATATATGTATATATACATGTTTATGCGTATATGTATGTGTATACGTGTATAGCTATAGTTACATAGATAGGTATGAGTATATGTATGGTTCATACATGTACATTTACGTCGTTGTGAATATGCATGCACGTTGCATATATGTATATACGTATATTTATATGTGTATAGTCTTACATGTATATGTGTACATATATAGGTATATATTGTTGTATCTGTATATATATATGTGTATTATATGTTTATATATGTGTGTATATGGATATATGCATGTATATGTATATATATATGTATATATATATATATATGTATATGTGTGTATATGTGTATGTATATATATGTATATATGCGTAGGTTTATATGAGTGTACTTAAATATTTTTGTCTATACTTTTTAATTATTCATTTAATTCTAGTCTCTACTACCTTTCCTATCTTTTATATTTGGTTTGTTGTTAAGTGTTGCTGTTTGTTAATTTTTCTCTTATTGTATAGTTACTTTACCAATCCACATATATTATAATTACCTAGATATGCTAATTTTCATACTGTTTTTAGATCCACTGATGATGACATTAAATTGAATGTCGAAACGTTTGGAAATAAAGATTATTTTATAAATCTTTGGCTTTTCTTTGTTTGATGTATCGCCCTCAAGAACTCACTCATATATATATATATATTACGGTGTCTTTAATATGGACAATTTTGTATTTCCTCCAAATTGATAAAAAACAATTCTTTGAAAGTTTTAGCTCTTAATATTAACCTTATATATATATATATATAATATATATATATATATATATAAAATAATAATTATTACTTTTTAGATGTGAAAATATGCACACTGCACTCTTTTTTGCACTATTTATTAATCAATATTAATACTGCAAAGGTTTTGAGACAAATGGTTTGTCTCCTCTGCAGTATAAATTTAAATTAATAATTCTAATTAAATATGGTCACGTATTCCTAGCAAATTTCGTATACAACTGATTTATGAGGAATACGTTACTATATTTAATTAAAATTAGTAACAGTAGCATTATTTAAAACATAATGCAACAAGAGTGGAGTGAGTTCATATTTTCAAACGCAAAAGTTTTCATAAATGCATCTTTCTGATATGTCATAATAACATATGAGTGAAGTTGCATTTGATGTGTTAAACGTCTGATCGTACAGCAAACACATAGCATTTTGACAGTTTTTAGTATTATCTTATATAAAAAACGAGGCGTAACATAGCCTTGCCATAACTTTGGTCTATTTTACAGCTGAATTGGCCCGTCAAGAACAAACATTAAATTACAAAATTGGCATAAATAGTGATTCAATTGCATACATTTGCATTTGATTTTACTGCTCTTCTAGACAACACTCGAAATTAATACCAAACAAATTAGAATTAAATTTCCCTGTCTTATTTTAAATCAGTAAGAAAAAAATCAGGTATATGTACAATATAATGTTAAAAAGAAATTCAGCAAAAAACTCTACTGATTTGTGTAAATTTGCACAATTTTTGAATGTCGGAGAAAAAGCAAATGATGGAGTACTATCGAGAATAGCATAAAAAATCCATAACTCCACTGGATATAAATCTGAAGCGAAAAGGAAATTCGATTTGACGCGTATTGCAAAAAGAGTTTCTGTTGAGAGATAGAAAAATTGTTGTGAAAAAAATGTAGATGATTGACACACAAGTTAAGTGAAAAATGGGAAAAACGAGATACTAAAGGAAACAACAAAAATATGATACACTCACATAATTGATATGATTCTGAAAGAAACATTTTTTCTTATCAACAATAGTAATAGAATACCTAAAAATAAATCAATAATCATAATTCAATGCAATACGAACTCTTTGAAGCTATTTACATTCGTGATTTCTCTACCGATAATCATCTGGCAATAATCGTTCCTAAGTATATCTGAATGAAGCACGTACAGTTTTTATCCGAACAATGTGAGGTGGTTATGTGCCCAGTGAATTTTTAGGCTGCGTAGGCTGTTCTAACCTCGTTTGTGTTAATACTATATGTACATGTACATCTATAGGGCAGGCCCTATACACAAACTCATTTAGGATTCCATAAAGGTAAGACGCACTTTAGCCGTGCTTCTAAAACCCAAAATACGATGATATTTGTAAAAGGCAGAAGCAAAATATCGCATGAAATAAAGTAGGCAAACATGGGAATAAATATAACTCTTTAATGTTTTTTGTTTTAATTAAACTCAGTACTCAAATCATAATCATATATTTCGGTAAAGAAATGAAAAAAAGGAAATATTTTGAGTAACTACTAATACCCATATATACATATTTTAAAATAATATTATGTTAGTAGTAATGAGATAGATGGTAGCACATCGCGCTAAACTATAAAGTTAGAATTAATATGATGTTGATCAGTTTTTTGTTTATAATGTCGCGTTGAGATTGAGTTTTAGTAGTAATACATGTGGTCTAATAAAAAAACTAGTCTTCAATAAGTTAGAAACTATGCTATTGCAATAAAAAATTACAAATACTATCTATTTTATATACCAAATACTCCATATAAAATCTAACTGTACAGCTTTTTTTATTAAATAAATTAGCTAGGTGTTTAGACATACATATAAGTACATATAAATTTTTAATAAATTTCATTAAATAAATTTATTTACACGAAGCTTGATAATTAGAATAGATGCTAATCCTAATTACCAAGCGTTATATATATATATATATATATATATATATATATATATATTATTTATAAATAATTAAATATCCATACCTATAAATCTTTCAAAAGTTTGTTCAGTTCTTATTGTTACTCGGAACTTCCCTCTTGTTTATCTGAAAAGATATTTTTGATCAATAGTACTTTGTCATTTAATTTTTTACAACAGAAAAATCATATCAATTGTCTCAATATCATATTGCAATTAAATCATATTATACCATAAAAATAAAGCTCAATAAAGCACATACATATTAATAGTAAGTATTGCATCAACACAGTAGTCATAGAAGTCTCTTTCAATTCGTAAAATTTATCAGAAAATATTAAGAAATGATTTTATCGTGTTAAAATCAACAATTAAAAAAATAACAGAAAAATACTTTACCATAAAATTTGATTCACTTCTTGTTCTACTTTATCCATTAAATAAAATTATATTATCCATATAATAAAAGTAAATATATTCAAGATATAAGGGCCAAAGTAGATTTTCCGGTAAAATAGACCTTAACATAGCGTTGTTATAGCAACGAATGTTACGCTCCTTTCTTCATATAAAATGGTACTAAAAACTGTCAAAATGCTATGTATTTGCTGTGCGATCAGGCGTTTTACACATAAAACCTATTTTCGCGTACGTATTATAAATGCACATCAGAAAGATGCAGTTATGATAACATTGTTTTTTTGATGTTTGTGCGTTTTCTAGGTTAGGTTTTATATCTAAAACTAAGTAAATTTTATATCTACAGCATAGTAAATATATATCATTTTGACAATTTTTACTACAACTTTGTATGAAGAAAGAGTTGTTACAACGACGTCAATTTTACCTTAGAATTGGCGCCATAATATCTTGTCATTATGTTTTATATGAGAATGTACATACACTAAAGTATTCACTCAAAGTAAAGAACATAATAATTTATTGACACATATTAACTCTCTTTTTGTATATGCTGCCTAACCAGAATATTAAATTTCAAAGATTGTTTTCTTCAATAAAACTTGAAGAAAAGAAAAAGTAAATGTCAAAATTATCAACGATTGATGTCATTACAATAATAATAATGACTAATATATATGATATAACATTTTGTGAAGGTACATTATGCTAATACATATACAATAATATGAGATTCAAATAAAAGTTATTATAATAAGAATATTACCCAAAGGCTGTGTCGTTAGATTTTCCCATCTCATGAAAATTGTTAGTAATTATTTTTTATATTTATAGAAACATAAATCGCTAAGTGGGACTATTTCCTACGATTTTTGTTTTGTTCTTTATTATTCGTAATGAGAATGCTCGTTGAATCAAGTTCCACCGCATATAAAAGAGATCATTCCACAGTATACAAATCTCACTTACTCCAACCACTTTTTTATATTTATATGAGGCATAATACATAACGCATTTTAGTAACCTTTGGTATTCTCAATGCAAACACATTTGTATACATAAGCTGGCGTAAAAGTAATGTTTCACGGCAAGAAACACATATATACACGAAACGGGATTTACGCAGATCGCGGTTCTGTTATTCCTAATCTACTAGGATGTATTACCTAACAGCGTTACAAGCGGGTAATGTTATTTAATGCTACCTACGTATACGTACAAAAGCTATAAATTAATAATGCTCTATCGCTCGCTTACTAAACTCGCCCGATGCAAAAAAAATTCAACACAATAGCTCTGGAGATGAACACGTACGCCGTGCAGAACTAAATCTATGGTTTAGCCGAACAAATTCGATCTCGTACATATGATTTAGAGCAAGATGATAGGGTATCGTAATTTCATTTTAAACTAATCGCGGTCTTTGGTTAATATAAAAATATATCAAATTTGAAATTAGTAGCTTATTCACACGTGGCTTCAGTAAATCCTAGTGATAAATTTATGAGAGGAAGATATTGTTGCGCCAAGTCTTGGGTTTCCAAGATATTGGTAGATATGTAGAGGAACCTAATATGTGAATTTGGGCTCTTTCTTGAGTTCTGTTATCAAATTAAAAAAAATAGTTAAACACTACATAGATGTTTTTAACTTCCGAAGAAAAAGTTCATGTTTTTTTTCTTTTGATAAGAAATCAATCTACATTTTTGGTATACATTAGCTGTTGTGATGATTATTTCCAAGAACAGCTATTAGAAAGAAACCACATTTTTACGTAAATTTAACCTTGAAAAATTCGAAAATGAAAATTTTCATATATCTTTCCGTTTCAAACGTTTCTAAACATTTTGGCATACCTTAAACAAATAGATGTATGTATGTGCGGATACAATTTTCCGTCGACGATTTTGAAAACCAATAAACCAATTTGAATGATTAAAATTTTTGAAACATTCGGTTCCTATTGATAAGGAGACATGCTAATTAGTTTTTGGCTAAGACAAGTCCAGTCGTTCCGAAAATACGGAGAAAAAGGTGCCAAAAATGGTAATTCAATTTTTGATAAAGCGAAGCGTTCGATTTGAATGATTCAAAAACATTTTATTTGTATAGACGAAATGAAGTAAAATTTTCGGTAAGGCACGTCTAGCGGTTTCGGAGATCCAATAATAAAAGTAAAAAAATGCTATTTGGCAAAAATTGGCAAAATTGTTCATTATACATATGCACATCAAATTATCAGGTATTTTATAGATAATTTAATAATAAGAACAAATTTTGTTTACATTTATATGAGTTCCGTACCAATGTTTATCCGTTAGACTGAGACGCGGCGCCCAAGCGCTTCTATATTTCATATTACGTATCGCGAGTGTTTTAAAAAAAAGTTCAAAATTTCTAAAATATTATTCGCCTTGAAATTTAGTTTTTCTGTTTAGAGCGTAACACTTTCATACTTATTAACTAATAGTACCTTACAGTAAATTAAAATTTTCAATAAAGTTAATTCAAGTTTTTATAATATTTAAATTTTTTTGAGTATTTTAAAACTTTTCGAAACGATGGTATTGCATAGCTGTTTTGCAAACAAACTAACGAAGCTCTCTAGCAATTAGGTAATACAAATCTTGTTTTTTTCTATAAAAATGTAAAAAGAGATGCACTTATTATTAACATCTCTATAAAATAACTTATAATTTGATATGCATGTGTCTAAGGATAATTTTTAACCGCCAAATGACTTTTTTCTTTATTTTTTTTTCATATGATCTGCTGGACCAAAAATTTTGTCAATTCTATTCCGTTACAAGTGAAGTGGATTTTGAATCATTCAAATCAGAAGCTCCGTTCTCTTAAAAACCAAATTAACATTTTTTTTCACTTTTTGCCCCGTATTCAAATCGACTACACCTGCACCTTTGCCAAAAACTAACCACATCTGCTCGTCAATAGTTTTCCAATGTTTCTTTAATCATTGAAATCGGTTTAAATTTGGTTTTGAAAATTGCTTTCGTAGACAAAAATTTATATCCAAACATACGCAATACACATACATACACAAATAGATCAATTTTTTTCCAAGGTATGCTAAAAATATCAGAAGCCCTTAAAATGTAAAGATATGCAGATTTTTTTTTTGCTATTACTATAACTTACCCTACGGTAAATTAATAAGAAAGAATTTATTTTCTAATTGTATTGAAAAAACAACAACTTTTTATAAACATAATAAACTAACATTATTAAAATATAAAAATAGGTAAGAATAAAAAAATAACGAAGGAACGAAATAAACATTTCTCTATTTGAGAACTTTCATTGTTTACTGGTATCAAATCAAACATAGCTACAACATTTTATATCAAATTTGTGATATAAAATGTTATAGAAATCGTCTATACCAACATGGCAAACATAAACATGATTTGCCTTCGCTTTATCTACCAAATAAATTTAGCATAATTCTTTACTAAATCACATTTTTTAGCCAATGACAATGAAATATTTCCAGGTGTATCTCCCACGTGGAATCGGTAGACTTTGCCGATATGATAACGGAAGGTGGCGTCGAACAGCGCGAGAAGCAAATCGTAGATATGATGATGGGAACGGGAATGAAGGAAGAAGCCGAAAGTCTGTTCCGCAGGATGTCAGCCTTGCCTGCGAATAGACGATTGTCCGTGATGCCGGGAGTCAAGGCCAAGGACGAAGAGAGCAGGGACGCCAAAACCAAACCGAGGAAGTCGATTATGCCCCCAAGTGTTACTCAAGTCAAAGATAAACCTGATAAAAAGAAACCGAAAGGATATCAAGAATTCGATTTATAATCAACTACTGTAACGGTATGAAATAGTTTACATGGATGTAGAACTTTTACAGATTTTAAAAATGAACCCGAAACGAATAAAATACCTGGGGTTTTATAAAAATTGATAAACTTCCTTTCTTTTGATATGCTTATGTATATTGGCAATCAAAATATACATTATTTTTTAAGACAATGTGCTGGTCTTTAAAGAGTTTATTTCCAATGACATATCTCCTTTTTTAACATTTGGTTTTAAATCGTATGGCCATTTGATTAATCTTTGAGATTCCTCACTCAACGTTTATGCAATTTGTATTATTTAGTAAAATCAGTGATCTCAAGCTAATACATAACTTTTTCACAGTTCGTTACTGCCAATTGATACGAATATAGGCCCGTAATATAGAGTTGCTAATACATTCCTAATTTATCCGGAAATTGCCCCCTTAATAAGATTTTACAAAAACAACCCTACACTTTTACATCATTTAATTAAATTCAAATAATCTTTAAATATAAATTTTACGCACCACTAACAGCAAATTGACTTAGAATATTACTTTTTTACTATAATGACCTTTTTTATATAAATTCCACTAGTTTTTCAGAAAATTTTAGTAAATTTCATGTAGGGCAGGGAGAAGCTTAAGAGCCCGCGGGTAAAAAGTTCCACCACCAATATCTCAATAACAAGTAAACAAGTGTTATTTGCAAGTAGAGGGCAAAAGATGTATAACCAGGTATCACTTTGATTCCTACAACGTCGCTATTAGGAGATAAACGACAATGTTTAAAAATCCACTACAAAAGTAATTTCTTTCCTTGTTAGTTTTTTTTGTTGTTGTGAGCACTATAGTTTAGTTTATGAGACCTTAATACAATATTTAAGTATATGTTATTTAATTGTTTCATAATATGTATTGATGTATTGTTATTTTTAAATTAGATTCAACAGATTTTTTTATATAAAAGCTTACACATGTTTGGGATAACATTAACAAGGACCAACTGAAACTTTATTCCGGCAAAGGCGTAAATGATGAAAAATAGTAAATAAACATGTAAATTAAGTAAAAAAAGCAATTTAACAAAAGTTAAATTAAATAAATAGTAATTCAAACTTTGCCGATGAATATATCTGATAAAAAAACAGATCAAGGTTATTTACAGTGTTATCTCTGTAAAAATTGCACCCATAAAATTTATTTTTTCTGAATAATGCAGCTATAATTTCATGAAATCCCTTCAAAATTAAAATAAGACCACGTTTGTCCAATAGCCGTGCCAATTTACACCGTGTATAGGATAAAAATGTCCAATTTACAAATTTTTGAAAAACAGCAAAGAAACACATTTCTACAATGGTGAATTAGGTGAGATTTTTACTGAAAATAGTCAAATAGTTGTTGGTTGGATTTGCGTTAGTTGTTGTGATATATAATTGGTTTGTTTTTCACAATATAATTGCTCAAAGTCAAATTGGACGTTTGTGCAACGCCCAACCTATTCTATTGTATAACCTTAAATAAGATTTTATTACAATTACCTTTGACTTTGAACGCACTTAATAAATATTCGGTTTATATGCAGGAGATATGGTCAACGCATGATTTTAAATTAAAAAAATGTATATTTTTGTTAAATTCAAAATTGCCATAATATTTAAAAAAAAAATAAAACTAGGAATACCAAAACTTATAACAAATAAAATAAATTTTCAGTCAAGTTTTGTTTATTCCGCTACTAATTTTTATACGATGTTCACCAAATCTATTACAACTTTTGTAAACCATTAAATAATCTGAGATTCTTCTTTATTAAAAAAAGAATGCCAGAGCACAAAGCATAATGCATTCCACATTCTTCATTGTCACATACTTGGATAATCTTATATTCAAAAATTTAAATAATTTCATAAAAGTATCACAATAGTTGCAATATACTATTAGAAATACTTTACAGACTACTCACATTGTTTCCTATTTGTATTAATTAACTTCCCGTAGGGCAAGTTATAGTAATCGCAAAAAAATCGAAAATGAAAATTTTTATATATCTTTACGTTTCAGAGGTTTCTGAACATTTTGGCATACCTTAGAAAAATGGATGTATGTGTGTGTGTGTGTGTGTGTGTATGTGTGTGTGTATGTATGTATGTATGTGTGTGTATGTATGTGCGGATACAAATTTTCGTCGACGATTTCGGGAACACGGGTCAACCGATTTGAATAATTCAAAAAACATTCGATTCGTATTGATAAGGAGACGTGCTGATTAGATTTTGGCGAAGGCAGGTCTAGCTGTTCCAAAGATACGGGGCAAAAAGTGCCGAAAACGGTAGCTCAGTTTTTGAGAGAACGGAGCGTCCGATTTGAATAATTCAAAAAACATTTCACTTGTATTGACAAGATGAAGAATCGATAAAATTTTCATGAAGGTAGGTCTAGCGGATTCGGAGATATGGAGAAAAAAGTAAAAAAATGAGCCATTTGGCGGTCAAAAATGATCATTAGACATATGCTCATAAAATTATCAGATATTTTATAGAGATTTTAACAATAAGTATACAATTTGTTAACATTCCTATAGGTTTCGTACCAATGCTTATGCTTTAGACAGCGACGCGGCGCTTACGCGCTTTATATTTTGTTCCTATGCAGTTAAAGCAGTACGATTGATTGCTTTGAAAAGAAAGTTCAGATCTTCCACAATATGTCAAAATAAAAAAAAAATTTTTCAAAAAAAAAAAATTAAAAAAAAATTTTTTTAAAAAAAATTTTTTTTCAAAAAAAAGTAATTTTTTGTCCAATTTATAGTTTCTCAAAAATCTTATTTTTTCAAAGTAATTTTTTTTTTCAAAAATGTTAATCGTTTTTACAAAAATAATAATTTTTGGTACGGGAAGTTCCAGCAATTTGCCTTAAGGCACGATGCCTTAATTGCCTTAAGACAGAATTCCACTTACAGCTAGTTTTCATATATATTCACTTTGATATATACCAAGTATGTCCGATTCGAAGCTCGGTATATAATATGCATGGCACCATTAAAACTAATTTGTTTTAGCTATAACTTTTGATAAATAATGAATGCTACAGTGTTTTAAATAAATTAAGTTTGAAGTAGATGAATCGTACGTCCGTATTAGTTATATGCGAATATAGTACCATGATGCAAAAACTTTTCAGACTTCACTAGTTGAAGTACATAGAGCACATGCTTTATTAATGAAACAACGTTATTCTAGAGTTTAAATACGATTTATGTATTTTATAAATTAAGTAACTCCCACAAGTGCATACTATCATAAGTTCATTATAGCTGCAAAGTTGAGAGTTATAATCTCCATCAAGTGCACACAAGAATCAGTATGGTTTAAATGTATTATTAATTTATATTAACATTGAGATAAATGGTAAAGTAGGCAAACATATGCTATGTTTGAATTACAGATTATATATTATATTTAACATAATATTGTACTTATATATTTTAACCAAGGTAAAGTATTGCAAAGTTGTACATTTGTATAAATAATGAAGAATGAATTGATATTCAGAGTTATTGCTGTTACTTTTTACCTATCACTTGTTGTTGTAAACAATGTTGAAGTTATCCGCTGTGTTATTATAATATACAAGTTCAAATTAGTTGTTCTACACATTTCTTCATGTAAAACTAATTTCTAATATAAAATTTGTTCGTCAGCAATTACTTCATTTCTCTAATAAAAGTTAGGTATTATACTATTCACAATGAGACACCATTAATTCTTGCAAGAAATTTTATTGTCAAGTTTTGTTTAAAAGAATCCCAAACACTGATTGATTTTTTATATGTTTAATAACAAAGAATCATTCTTCATTTCAATCAACTACGGGATATGAGATCACAATTGTTGCAGTTTTCTCATAAAATATAAATAATTTGCAGAGTTTATTTCATGTATATCACTTCAAGTTATCTCAAACGAATCTTGTCATATTTGAAGTATGATAGTAATTAAATTTTGTTTTAAAAACCATGAGTATAGTGACTGAGATTAATAAATAACTAGTCGTATAAGGCATTGTGCCTTAAAGCAATTTGCTGGAACTTCCCGTATCGTAATAAAATATTCGAGGAATATTAAAGAATATAGATTATAATTACTGTAGCTTTCATTATTCTTATTTTGTAGACAAAATATAAGAGTGTATAAATTGGACAACAACGTTTATATATGTTTATATGAAAAGTCAATGAACAACACTTAATCAATCAAATTTAAAATAAAGGGCATTGTCTAATATTTATAAGAATTTTATAAACTGAACTGCAAAGTTATAATTATATTATTAATTATATAAGTCAGCTTTAGAATTTTAGCTAGAATTAGAATTAAAATCCCAACTATTTTCGACATTCAATTTTTTGTTTTTGAAATGAAAAAAAAATTTAAAAAAAATCCCAAAAGCAATCGTTTCCCAGCACAAGCAGACAGTTTTTTAAATCATTCAAATCGGAAGCTTATTCTCTCAAAAACTGCAATTTTCTGCACATTTAGTTCTCTATCTCCGAAAGGGCTGAACCAGCCTTTGCTAAAAATTAATAACCACTTCTCCCCATCATTACGAATTGAATATCTCTTCGATCATTCAAATCAGATGCTCCGTTCTCTCAAAACCTTGATTTCTATTTACTGCACTAGTTGCTTCGTGTCTCCGAAACGGCTGGACCAACTTTTGGCAAAAACTAATAAGCTTGTCTCCTTGTTAATAGGAATCTATTGTTTTCTGAATAATTCAAATCGATTGTTCCGTACCCCCAAAATCGTCAACGAAAAATTGTAGCCACACATACACACACATCCTTTTTTTTGTAAAGTATGCCAAAATGTTCAGATACCTCTGAAACGTAAAATATGCGAAGGTTTTCAATTTTTGGACGATTAAAATAACTTACCTTAGGGGAAATTAATTACATTACAAGTGTTGCCATATTAGCAATAAACAAAATTTTAAATTCCTATATAATAAA